TTTAATTCTGTATTTGGAGATGGAAAGCTAGCTCTGAATGTTTCAGGTATATAAAGTATCTGATGTATAATTACAGATTATTAAACTCTGCGCAACTTCTAAAATGTATCTCAAAGCTTGTTTTTATATAAATATTGTGATGTGAGTGGAGGAACCCTCAATTCTGAAGTCATTGAAAACTAGATGGGAAGTAGGATTCAATAATGTGCTGTAGGAGACAAACAGGCACTGGCAGAATTGAATAGGTCTTTTCTATCTCTAGTGTCTAGGTTTGCCCTCTAATAGCAACCAACTAAACTTACTGAGGGTTCTATGTACATTGCCCTAAAATATTTAGGGTAATTTTTTTTTTCTTTTAAAAATGGGTGCCTAAAGGAAAGCTTTTAAGCCCATACTTAGGCACCTTAAAGTGGCCAGATTTTCAAAAGTGCTGGACTCGCAGAACATCTAGTAACTCCATTGACATAAATGGGTGTCCAGCACTTTTGAAAATCTGGCCACTTTACTGGGTGCCTAAATCTGATCGTAGAAGCCTAAGTTCAGACACCCACATGTAAACATTTTGGCATATTATATAAAATCCCTAACACACACAGAGTCCAAACATTTTATGAAATAGGGACAATTTACGATTACTTTTAACAAGTAATTGTACTTTTAGAAACTATTTTTTGTAGCCTCACGGTTTCAGCAGCTTGCACGCTGTTGAGTGTATATACAATACAAAACAAATATTGACAGATTTGAAGGCTAACAAAAGATTATACCACTGGATCCCAATTGATGAATACAAAGGCCAAATGGAACAGTTGTGTTTTTGCCTAAAACCTATCCATATTTGTTTAGCCTCGTGGACTGCTGTATCTAAAGAAAGTTCAGAGAAAGTCCTTGTTGACATTTTATTTAAATACTGTTTGCTTTCCATTTGTTTGCCCGTTTATGTGCATACTGCCTATTTCTGAGGTTTAACGCCTGCTTGTGGAAACCAAAGCACAAGTCCAGAAGCTAAAACTAAAACTTGTTTGGATGCCTGTCCCCAGCTATCAGAACATACTTCCTATCAAAGACTTCAAACCATTTTGCTTCAAAGGACAGAAGCCTTGCAGACATGTTGTGTTGTTCGGTGGAGGGGTCAGAACTATCTCATTAAATACCTGGGAAAAGTCCAACAACTTGAACAATTGCAAGACACTTTTGATTCTTCACATGTGCGTATTAAGCAATATTTAGATGCAGCTTTTTTTAGCAGAGCAGCTTGTCAGTATCTCCTGAGGCCAAGGTTAAATTCACATTTCTTGTTTCTTGCTTACTTTCAGACAGGGTAATAATTTTTACTTTTGATAGGGGATAACTTGAGAACATATTTATGCATTGAATATCATCCCTTAGCTTATGAAAATAAATGCCATGTATAAAACAAAGCTATTACGTCTATGTCCATTAAAAGGCTAACCTCATATGGAAAAAGTGCCTTCTCACTTCCCCACATCAGGTAAATTTATATTTCACAATGTGCGCATATTGTGTGCCAACATTTTTTTTAAAAGATAAGTTAAATGCTAAATGAGAAATTATTTACTTGCGACTCTATAAAATGCTATATGCTGAAAATAATGCATTTTGCAGCAAGTTTGATTTATAATATCTCAAAATCCTGACCTTTAAAAAAAAGTAGTATAAAGTTGAAAAACGTGCAGAAATGAATATGGTCTGAGTTTGCAGACCAAAATGTGGGGTTTCTTCTCAGCCTTTCAGTTCAAATCAATGTTATATAATTTTAAAATCTGACAGTGCCCTGATAGGAGACGTATCTCCTGCATGGTCAAAAGGAAGAAGTAGATATGCTAAGAGGACTTTTCTATCTCTAACTTTTAGAATCTTATAGCCAACAAAAAAGTGGCAACGTGTCTGGTAGTTAGGAAGATTTGGTGTCAAGAGAACTAAATTCTATGACTAACTTGCCACTGAGTTACTCTGTGAGTTTGGGAAAATCCTGTAGCCTTTCTGTAATAAATATTACTCAATGTTGTAATGTGCTTTGACATTTTCAGATGAAGTATACTTTGCAAGCACAAAGTAGATATTTTTAAAATATTCAGCTGAGTTGACTGAAATTATAGTAATTCGATGAGACTGAATCAAAAGAGCACTACAGAACAAACTAATTAAAGCCAGTAATCCTGACACTGTTCTTCCAAGATAAGAACAGTGATATTTTGCTATTAATCAGATCAACCAAAAACAACGAGGAGTCTGGTGGCACCTTAAAGACTAACAGATTTTTTTTTGGATGTTTTTGTGGATACAGACTAACACTGCTACCCCTCTGATACTTGATACACATCAACCAAAATGCTCTGATTAAAACCGACTACATTTGGCCATTAGATGGCGCTAGCACTACTTTACTGACAATGAAAATGTCTGGCATTGGTAAAGCAATAAATATAGGGTTACCATACATCCGGATTTTCCCGCACACGTCCGGCTTTTTGGTCCTCAAATCCCCGTCCGGGGGGAACTGCCAAAAAGCTGGACATGTCCGGGAAAATAGGGAGGGGCCTTGGGGCTGGGGCCGGAGCCGCTGGGGCCGGCACCGCTCGACCAGGGCCGGTGCCGGGCCGGGGCCGGGCCCTCGCCGCTTGGGACCGGGGCTGGGGTGCTCGGCCACCGGCCGGAGCTGCTCGGCCGGGGCCAGTGCCCTGGGGCCCAAGCTGAGTTGGAGTCGCTAGGGCCGGGGGTGCTCGGCTGGGGCCGGCACGCTCTGCCGGAACTAGGGCCAGCACCCCAGGGCCCGAGCCGAGCCGGGCCAGAGATGCCGGGGCCAGAGCCTCTTGGCCAGGGCCGGCTGGCCGCCGGAGGGAGCCGCTCGGCCGGGGGGGCCGGACTGGGCTGTGCCTCCTCGCGCCCCCCCGCCACCGCCCCAGCCCCAGCCCCAGCTTATCTGCTGCCTCCCTGTTTCAGGCTTCCCGCGAACATTTGATTCACGGGAAGCAGGGGAGGAGGAGGAGCAGAGCGTTCGGGGGAGGGGGCAGAGTTGGGGCGGGGCCGGGGCCCCGTGGAGTGTCCTCCTTTTTTTTTTATTAAAATATGGTAACCCTAAATAAATAACACCACAAATGTGGTACTGGAAGAGTGTTTTCTTTTCTCATGACTTTTATGAAAGGCATTTGCTGAGCTCCAGTAACAAGAACAGGTCAGTGGTTGCACAAATTTCTATAAATGCAGAACATCTTGTGCAGGGGTTCTCAAACTGGGGGTCGGGACCCCTCAGTGGGTCACGAGGTTATTACACGGGGGGTCGCGAGCTGTCAGCCTCCACTCCAAACCCCGCTTTGCCTCCAGGATTTATAATGGTGTTAAATATGTAAACAAGCCTTTTTAATTTATAAGGGGGGGGGTTGCACACAGAGGCTTGCTATGTGAAAGGGGTCACCAGTACAAAAGTTTGAGAACCACTGATCTTGTGGAATGGGAGTTGGGGGTAGGAAGAGAGAGTGAAAGGAGAATTATACTTTCTGCCTACTACATCCAATTTATACTTTTGGGCTACTGGATCTCTTGAAAATAATGTGGAAAGATTTTATTTAGAAAATATTAAATCTACTGTCACATTTGAAAGTGCTGGAAAAGGGGTTATACAGATTGATAAAAACTGAAATAGTTATAATTACATATAAAGATTACAAAGAGACAAAAAGGGAGTAACATATTTATGGCCACATGGGGCTATATAGAGGTATATATACCGCCCAGCATGGCCACTTGGAAATTTATGACAAAAGCTGGGATAGAACTCAAATCCTCCTGAACCTCATGTCCTACTGATTCAAGTATAGGAAAACTTCTTTTAACTGTTAACAGTATACAGATTATGAGACATTTGAATAGTGCTGATTCTGTCCATTATATTGCTGTAGTGCACATACACACTAGCTGATACATGTATATATATTTTATGTGTGCGCACGCATGCCTATACACACACAGTACTCACAGATATTTATATATTTTTTTACTTACATATTGTATATTGTCATTATCTACAAATCTATTCAGCAATGGAATTTTTCAGACACTTACAATTTGGCCCAATCTGCCTAGATTCTCATGGGGACAGCAAAAGATAGCACTCTCGAAACTGGACCATTCTCCTGCAAAGTTTCAAATCCCTTTTCCAAAGTATGGAGGGGGTACAGCTCTTAAAACAATTCCTAATAATTTCTTTGAATATTGGAAAAATACCTATTTTGGAAATGACTGAAATATTTTCACTAAAACTTTAAAAAAAAAATCTATCATGAGGCAGAAAGCAAGCTTGGAAAATTTCAGCCCAAATGGTTTTAAGTCTAGTAAAAATGCAAACTGAAAACAGGAGGATTTCCTGGAAATGTTAGGCAGCTGTAACAACAGGCATCACTACCAGAACATAAGAACAGCCATATTGAGTCAGATCAATCATCCATCTAGCCCAGCATCCTGTCTTCTGACAGTGGCCAGAGCCAGATGCTTCAGAGGGAACGAACAGAAAAGGGCAACTTCAAATGCACTATCCCCTGTTGTCCAATCCCAGCTTTTGACAGTTGGAGGTTTAGGGATACCTGGAGCATGGGGTTTTGTCCCTGTCCATCTCAGCTAAAAGTCATTGATGGACCTATCCTACATGAACTTATCTAATTCTTTTTTGAATCCAGTTATCCTTTTGGCCTTCAGAACATCTCCTGGCAACATGTTCCACAAGTTGACTGTGCATTGTATGAAGGAGTACCTCCTTCTGTTTGTTTTAATCTGCTGCCTACTACCAGCTCCACCTATAATAAGCTCTTAAAGGACCACATGACCTTTCAACAAAAAGATCTATTTGATTTTTGTTGCTGGTCTAGGCCTAATTCTACTTCATGATACTTTTCATCATAATTTATTTTTTAAACAACCTAGAAACTTCAACTCACTGGCAACATTTTGTTAATGTTTTTAACTTGAGATTTTTAAAGTCCTACCTGCACAGGTCTACCATCCTCTTGTCCAATCATGTTTCTCCAGTCCTGCAGAGAACGCTGTAGGCTGTCAAGTCCTGTCTCCCAAAGCCTGACACTGCCTCCCATATCCACTGTAACCAAACCTACTTTGCCCAGTGGTGCCAACAGAACATCTGTGTCCGAGATCTTTGACAGCCATGATGTATATGGAGAGAGAGACACTGATCTGAAAAATAAAGCCAAATATGGTTTATCTAACAGTCACAATTGACACTAGAGAAAATATTTCTGTAGCAATGGGGCCAATTTTAAAAAAATACCCTGGAAATTGGAGCAAGGTCCAAGAAAGGTGTACACCAGGGAATATGATCCATCAACAATCCAAGTGAGATCAAGACTGGACCTGGCAGCCCTATTATATTACCCAAAGCACACCACATACTGGAACTAGATAGGGTGGAAAGATGTTTGCATAATACTGATAGCCGAATAAAAGATAGCTAAGATAAATGTAGCACAGAATATGCTGTATAAATAACCTCTATCTCCAATCTATTTTAAGGAGATCAGTCCTCTTGTTTTAGAGCAGGAGTGGGCAAACTTTTTGGCCCGAGGGTATCAAAATTGTATGGCGGGCCATGAATGCTCAAGAAATTGGGGGTTGGGCTGCGGGAGGGGGTGAGGGCTCTGGCTTGGAGTGTGGGCTCTGGGGTAGGGCCAAAAATGAGGAGTTCAGGGCATGGGAGGGGGCTCCAGGCTGGAGCAGGGGGTTAGGGTGCACGGAGGGGGGTGAGGGCTCTGGCTGGGGATGTGGGCTCGGGGGTGGGGCTGGGGATGAGGGGTTGGGGGTGCAGGAGGATGCTCCAGGCTGGGACCAAGGGGTTTGGAGGGTGGGAGGGGGATCAGGGCTGGGGTAGGGGGTTGGGGCACAGGAGGGGATCAAGGATGCAGGCTCCAGGCAGTGCTTACCTTAAGCAGCTCCCGGAAGCAGCAGCATGTCCCCCCTCCAGCTCCTACACGTAGGGGCAGCCAGGCGGCTCTGCGTGCCGTCCCGTCCGCAGGTGCCGCCCCTGCAGCTCCCATTGGCCATGGTTCCAGGCCAATGGGAGCCACGGGGGCGGCACTTGGGGCAGAGGCAGCGTGCGGAGCCCCCTGGCTGTCCCAATGCATAGGAGCCGGAGGGGGGACATGCCGCTGCTTCCAGGAGCTGCACAGAGCCATGGCACATACAGAGCGGGGCAAGCCCAGACCCTGCTTCCCAGCAGGAGCTCGAAGGCCAGATTAAAACGTCTGAAGGGCCGAATGTGGCCCCCGGGCAGTAATTTGCCCACCCCTGTTTTAGAGAGAACAAGGGGGGATAACCAGGTCAAACAGGAAGCAAGCAACACAGAAAAACTGGAAAATGGGGAAGTTGAGCAGAAATCCAAAAGAGCATTTGTATCCTGACTGTTATAACCTCTATGAATGATCTTCATTCAGGTGCCAGCAGCAAATTTATTAGTGATCCTAAACTTATCATGCTGGGAATTACAGAGAAGAGAAATAAAAAGATATGATAAAATTATGATTATAAAAATATTTAAATATTTGGCAAGGGAAAACACAAACGTACAAAATAAACGGGAAAGAACACAAGCTAGCAACTTTGGAAAATAACTTGAAATAACACAGAAAATTTCTCTAAGACCTGGTTTACACACTAAGGGCAGGTCCACACTGGGGCAGGGGATCGATCTAGGAAATGCAACTTCAGCTACGAGAATAGCGTAGATGAAGTCGACGTTTCCTAGATCGAACTAAATTTACTTACTTCGGGTCCACGCGGCGCAGGCAGGCTCCCCCGTCGACAGCGCTTCCTCCTCTCGGCGAGCAGGAGTTCCGCACTCGACGGGGGAGCGCTTCTGGGATAGATCTATTGCGTCCAGATGAGACGCGATAAATCGATCCCAGAAGATCGATCTCTACCCGCCGAATCAGGCGGGTAGTGTGGACCAGCCCTAAGTGTCACCAATGTAACTAAAGGTGTGAAGTTAAACTGATGTAAACCTTGTCTACATGGCAAGTTACTTCGCGGGAAGCCAGGGTGTGATCTACAGCATACCAGCTTGCCGCAGAGTAATTTACCGTGTAGACACAGCTATAGTTCACTGAAAGTCTTAAAGTACGGCTTGGCTTACTACTACTTGAAATCGTAGTATGCCAAGCTAAACTCCAGGACTTTCAGTGCACTGTACCTGTGATGCAATAAAGTTTCTTATTTTAACTATATATATATATGGTGTAGCAACTAACATACCTAGCTTTCTGTAGTTAGGAATGTTTTAGTATATGTATACGTTTGTGTTATAGGGTATTAGAAATGAACCCTTAAAAAGGAAATGGAATTTTATAATCTATTTGGACCTTTGTACATATTTTTGAAAACTTTAACAGGCAGAATTAATGTTGACATAACATGTGGTATAGGTAATTTCAGGCAGAATATTACCTTTTGGGGGACGTTTTGGGAGTTTGAAAATAGGGCTTATAATGGAAAACTAGCTTCAATCTCACTTATGAAGCAACTATCACTGCTCCATAATAAGAAGCACCTCTGGAACCAAAAAGGTTCTGAATATAAGCTACACACCCAGATTTGGAGGAAAGACCCAAAGAGGACTTTCATCTGTATTACTATGAATTCATACCTTTTAACCTATGTGCTGAGGCCCTGCAAACACTGCATTTCCATGCCAAATGCTTGCTCTACAAATTGATTGGACAAAAGATCGAGCTGCAGAATTGCTCTTTGGCTGAATATATTCAGAACATTTAGGTTATGCAAACCATGAGAAACATGGATGAACAATCACTTCTAGATAAAACTACGCTGTACTATAAATAGAAATGTAGATTGCTCATTTATATAGTAGATTCCATTAAAAAAACTACACTAAAGAATGTTAGTGATGCAAAATGAAGCATTCAAAATTCAGGAAATAACAATTTCATATGTACCCTCAAAGTTCAAGTGGAAGGAAGCAGAACACATCTAAAATCTGGCCTCATTCCATACATGCCCTGAAAGATCATATGGAATGAGACAGGTTTTTTAAAAATCAATATAATACAATATTTCATACCTTTTGGTTACACACACATGCAGTACCAATGAAAAGTTGGGAGACTGTTATTTAAGGAAACCTTTATCATTGTGAAAAATGTCAATTCATAAGCAAAGTATGCTTTTAAAATTATACTTTGCACTTGCTGAAGTAGGCTGTCAGATACTGTAGTGTGGAGGCCATACAATCTATCTAAGGTACTCATATGGCCTCACAATTTTTAAGATATTTATCATCCAACACCCCTGTGAGGCAAGAAACTGCATTTTACATGCTGGGAACTGAGGCAGAGACAGACTTAAGTGATTTGCCCAAGATCACAGAGGCAGTCTGGTGGAGAGGAACTTGGAGCCCAGGTCCTTCTACCACTGGACTGTCTTTCCTCTCTATATAAGACCCTAGAGAGAGAAAAATGAAGAACAGAGAGGAGAGATGAAAAGGGAGAAGGAAGGAAGCAGGGAAGATGAGGAGAGAAAGGGTGAGACAGGGAAGAGAGAAAACAGGGAAGGGAGAAAAAGGAGAAGTGGAAGGTACCTCGAATATCAATTGCTAACACCAATTTTTTCCTGAGTACCAGCTAATGGATAAATACAACTTTTCAATAGAGGAGTACACCATACACAGCTGCTGAAGAGTTCTGCATATTGGAGTAAAAATTACTTTCACAACATTAAGTAATCCAACAGGTAATAAGGAAACAGTGCACCGAAAACCCACCCATGTGTCACATAAAAAAAGTAAGAAAAGCCAATATCTATTCTAACTAAGAGAGCTTAATGAATTGTATTTGTTACTCCTACAAGATGAGGCTGTTTTACTGATGGAAATCAGATACCTGGGAATAGGGATGTATTTAAGTTTCTTTGAGTTAAGGTCGGTTACTTCCAGATACCCAGCTGTTTGCGGAGGAGTGATATCTGCAAATAAATAAATTTGTTAAAGCAAATTACTTTAGCTGTATTATTAATAAAATATTACACTTGTATTTATCAGATTAAATTTAAACATACATTATATAGGACATATCAGAAAATGATAAACTTTCAAATTAAATGTAGGTCTATACATTGCAATTATTGAATTTTATTACTGAACTAATAGTCAGCAATTAGGATGCTAGAATAATAAAAGAGCAATGTTGTATAGTGCAGTGGATGTCAAAACAAATAAAGTCCTGGTCACAAAAATGCCCATCAGGCATTATTGCAACCTCTACCTCATTTCTTTTACCTGTCATTGAAGATAATGCATATTGTTCATCCCACTGACAGTATATTTGGGCAGCATTCCAAAACACAGTGCTTTTAAAAATCTTGAAAATTGCAAGGACATATTAACTGTGAGCTAATTTTTTTTAATTAAACCTGCTGCCTATTAATTTAATCGGGTGACCCCTGGTTTTTGTATTGCGTGAAAGGGTAAATAACACATCTCTATTCATTTTGTCCACACCATTGATGATTTTATAGGCCTCTATCATATTCCCCCCGCCCTTAGTAGTCTCTTTTCTAAGCTGAACAGCCCTAATTTTTTTAAGTCTCTCCTCCTATTCAGATCATTTATGAATATGTTGAACAATACTGGTCCCAGTACAGATCCTTGGGGAACCCTGTTGTGAAAACTGACCATTTATTCCTACCCTTTGTTTCCTTCTTTTAACCAGCTACTGATCCAGGAGAAGACCTTCCTTTTTATCCCATGACTCCTTACTTTGCTTAAGAGCCTTTGGTGGGGGACCTTGTCAAAGGCTTTCTGAAAATCCAAGTATACTATATCCTGGATCACCCTTGTCCACATATTTATCGACCCCAGCAAGGATTTCTAATAGATTGGTGAGGCATGATTTCCCTTTACAAAAGCCAGGCTGACTCCTTCCCAGCATATTGTGTTCATCTCTGTGTCTGATAATTCTATTCTTTACAATAGTTTCAACCAATCTGCCTGGGTCTGAAGTTAGGTTTACCAGCTCATAATTACCAGGATCGCCTCTAGAGGTTTTTAAAAATCGGTGTCACATTAGCTATCTACCAATCACCTGGTATGCAATAAGTTATATACCACAGTTAGTAGTTCTGTAATTTCATATTTGAGTTCCTTCAGAACTCCTGGGGGAATACCATCTGGTCCTTAGAACTTACTAATGTTTAGCTTGTTCCAAATCTTCCACTACTGACACCTCAATTTGGGACAGTTCTTCAGATATGTCAACTAAAAAGATGGCTCTGGTGTGGTAATCTCCCTCACATCCTCTGCATTAAAGACCGATGCTCCTTTAGCATCTCAAATCGTTCAGTCGCTCTATGGATTGTTTGGCAGGCTTCCTGTTTCTGATGTACTTAGTTTTTTGCTTGTTAGATTTTGTGTCTTTTGTTAGTTGCCCTTCAAATTCGTTTTTGGCCTGCCTAATTATACTTGTACACTTGACTTGCCAAAGTTCTTTTTCTTTCTATTTTCCTCAATACATTTGACTTTCAATTTTTAAAAGATGTCTTTTTGTTTCTAACCACTCTGTTTAGACACGCTGGTAGTTTTTGGCCCTGTTTTTGTTTTATTTGAAACATATAGTTTGAGCTTCTGTTACTGTGTTTTAAAAAAGTTTCCTTGCAGCTTGCAGGCATTTCATTCTCCTAGCATCCTCATTTTTCTGCAGTTCTCCTGTTTGAAGTGAAATGCTACTGTGGTGTATTTCTTTGGTATTCTCGTTCCCCACGCCCCCGGGATGTTACATTTAATTACATTATGGTTGCTATTATCGAGTGGTTCAGGTATAGACCAGATCTTGCCTACACTTAGGACTATATCAAGAACTGCCTGTCTGCTTGTGGGTTCCAGGACTAGCGGCTCCAAGAAGCAGAAATTTTATCTCTGCATTCCGTCCCGAAGTAACATGTTCCCAGGCAATATGGGAATAGTTGAAATCTCCCCTTATTATTGGGTTTTTGGTTTTTGTATCCTCTCTAATCTCCCTGGGCATTCCACAATCATGTCACCATCCTGGTAAGGTGGTCAGTAGCATATTCCTACTGCTATACTCTTATTATTGAAACACGGAATTTCTATCCATAGAGAGTCTATGTAAATAAGATTTTTACTATATTTGACTCTATGCTTTATTTCACATATAGTGCCATGCCCCCACCACTCTGACCTACTTTGTCATTGCTATATATTTTGTACCCTGGTATTTCCACATCCCATGGATCATCATCATTCCAAAAACTTTCTGTGATGCCTATTATATCAATATCCTAATTTAATACCAGGCCCTCATCTGCACCCATATTTGTATTTAGACTCGTATTTCTATACAAGCATTTATAAAATTTGTCAATATTTAGTTGTCTGCCTTCATGTGATGTGGTAGAAGTAAGCAGTTATTTTAAATCCATACCCAATAAATGATGAATGCACAAGTGCATGTTTGCCCTCAAGTAGCCCTAATTTACACATCCTTGCTTTCAGACTTAATAAGTATATTATTGAAATATGACATGATCCCTTACCTATGTTTATATTTTGAGGGTACAGATCTATTTGGTATTCTTTGGAGAGTAAATTATTTGCTATTTTTCATTTTAAAATATATATAGCTACTATCCAAGTTACCAGTTCCAATAAAATAGAGAACGACTTCTTTGTTTGCCGCTGCTGGAACAATCTTGACAAAATGTATTGCACTGTGTTAGAATCTGGCTGAAGTATTTTACATTCTTAATAGAAATGGAAGGCTGTGTGCCAAAACTGACCAGTTACTGGGGAGGATGGGAAAAGTAGGGCTACACACCAAATTCAAGTTATTCCAATTTGGCTTGATACTTAGAGCAAACATTTTTTGTTTTTTATTATAACAAATTGCAACAGTTGCTGCATCAGCATTTGCTCATGCATAAAGCCAACCTTACAGTGATTATTAATGATTGTTTTATATGCAACTTTCTTCTGTTTCACATGACAACTCAGTTTCGCAGAATAAATGGTGTGAATAAGCAACCTTCTGCTACTCATACAAGTTCAAGAAGGTAAGAGGCATGTATTTTATCCCTGAAATCAAAGTAGATTTCACACATCAGAATGAGTGAGTCAGCCACAATAAAAGCATTTTAATCATTTGAGTGGTTTAAAAATAAAATACACTTAAATAATAACTTAAAATAAAACACTAATCAATTTAAAAAGAAGTAGATTACATTAAAGCAATCTGTTTTTATTAGGGGAATTATATATAAATAGTGCCATCATTCATCCACAAAATATAATAAATAGTCAAATTTGATTTTCCTGGGAAGCAGATAAGAAAATACAATAATATCCCATTTGGCAGATGAGGAAACTGAGGCAGATACATTAAATGATTTCCCAAGGCAACATGTAAATCAGTGGAAGAAAGGCAGTTAGACTCAGGAATTGCACATGCTCAGTATAATAAAAATCTTTTGTTCTATTATGCCACCTTTCATCCACAGATGTGAAGGCACTTTACAAACATTGTGGATTAAGCCTTACAATGCCCCGAAGATGTACTGGCACAGAGAAATGAAGTGATTTGCCAAAGGCTACACAAGGAATCTGTAGCAGATTTACCTGTGCCTGAATCTCACGAACATCCCTTCTACCTTAGAGCATGCACATGCACAGATGGCCAGAGAGTCACGTTAATCAAGGCACAATTAAGATTAATTCCATTAGGATTAACTCCACTAGGATACCTATTCTGTGGGCAGACAGATGAGTTAATTCCCTAATCTTGCAATTTAGGATCTTTAATGTGCACTAAATTCATTCTAGAATTGGTAAAATGTGTGCAACTTCCCTCTTTCTCCCCAAATCCAGTTAGGATTTTAAATGTTTGCTTTCTGATTCTTTAAAGCACGTTATAAACATACGGCATGAGTACTCTACAATTAAAACAAAGCCTTCATCTACAGTTGATATAGTTGAAATAAGGTAATCTCTTACCTTTTGGATAAAGTTCTTTCAAAGGGATGTCTCCAGGTGTTAAAATTCTGACTATTTGATTAGTAGCTAATAAAGTCACACAATTAATTTGTTTTGCAACTCCGGTTTTACTGCGCCTCCCATAGTAAAATGGATCAGAAGGAGAAGCATGTCGGCTGCCCAGCGAGGAGCCTCTCTTCCAGCTGTACACCTCATTGGGAGACTGAGAGAGAGAGAAGGTAACTTGAGGACTTCAGTGAGCAAAGACTTGTATAAAGCACCCTTTAAACAAATGGTCTGGATAAGCTCCCATTTCAAATCAAACTTAACCATTTTGAACAATTCTCAGTTCATGCCACGAGTGGTAGAAGAGCTGGCTGTGTCTGTCTTTGAGGGAGCTTCTACTGACAAGATGCGTGAGCTTCTACTAACATAAGAACTGCCATATTGGGTCAGACCAAGGCTCATCTTGCCCAGTATCCTGTCTCTGTACCAGACCTTTAGAAGAGTGTACAGAACAGGGCAATTATGGAGTAATTCACACCTGTCTTCCACTCCCAGCTTCTGGTAGTCAGAGGTTTAGGGTCATTCTGAGCATGGGGCTGCGTCCCTGCCATCTTGGCTTATAGCCATAGGTGGACTTACCCTCCATGAACTTATCAGGTTGTTTTATGAACACATTTATACTTTTGGCCACCATAATATCCCAAGGCAATGAGTTCCATGGGTTATTTGTGCATTGTGCAAAAAAGTACTTCCCCTTGTTTGTATTAAACCTGCTGCCTATTAATAGCTCAGTGGTTTGAGCATTGGTCTGCTAAACCCAGGGTTGTGAGTGCAATCCTTGAGGGGGCCATTTAGGGAACTGGGGTAAAAATCTGTCTGGGGATTGGTCCTGCTTTGAGCAGGGGGTTGGACTAGATGACCTCCTGAGGTCCCTTCCAACCCTGATATTCTATGATTATGATTCTAAGATGAACAGCCCTAGTCCTTTTAGTGTCCCCTCGTATGGAAACCGTTCCATACCTTTAATCATCTTTTTTTTCCCCTTCTCTAAACCTCTTCCAGTTCCACTATATCCTTTTTGAGATGGGGCGACCAGAACTGGACAAAGTATTAAAGGTGTGGGCATACCATAGATTTATATAGTGGCATTATGGTATTTTCTATACCTTTTCTAATAGTTCCTAACATACTTTTAGCCTTTTTGACTGCTGCGAGGCATTGAGCAGAAGCTTTCAGAGAACTATCCAAGGTGATTTCAAGATCTCTTTCTTGGATGGCAACAGCTAATTTAGAACCCATCATTGTATACGTGTAGTTGGGATTATGTTTTCCATTGTGCATTCCTTTGCACTTAACTTTGAATTTCACCTGCCATTTTCTTCCCCACTCACCCAGTTTTATGAGGTCCCTTTGTAACTCCTCAGTCTGTTTTGGACTCAACTATCTTGAATAATTTTGTAGCATCTGCACACTTTGCCACTTCATTGTTAACCCCCTTTTCCAAATCATTAATGAATATATTAAGCAGCACAGGCCCCAGTACAGATCTTTGGGGGACCCCACTTGTTCACCTCTCTCCATTGTGAAAACTGACCATTTATTCCTACCCTTTGTATCCCTATCCCCAGAGGGATATTCTCAGTACAAGAGGATATCATGACATCATCTGGAAGGTGGGTCCCAACTATGAGATCTTTTCCCTCTACTCCAGCTTGATGCTCTCCTGCCCTGAGACTTTGACTCTCCTCAACAGCACAGGGGCTGTTGGACAGGAAGTGAGACCACTCTACTATGTCCCTAACAGTCTCTTCTAGGTACCTCTCTGTCTTCCTATGCTCCTCCAGTTCAGCCACTCTGGCCTCAAGAGCCTGTACTCTGTCTCTGGGGGCTGTGAGTTGCTTGCACTGCACGCATACATATGCCACCTGCCCATGACAAGCAAGAGGCCAAAAGCACACAAGTCTTGTTTAGGAGAGGTCAGGCTGCTGTAGGCATCAGAGTTGACTCTCTAAAGCCTTTTCAATAAAAGCACTTCCATTCTTAAGATGATGCCACAAAAGATTTTTATGCCCTGAGGCCATTCAACTAGGAGGAGAAAACATTTCAATAATTTGATCTGTAACCAATCTATATAAAGGGATTTATTTACAAACTGTTTCCCCAACCATGTGATACTGGCAACAGCCATTAAGTCTGCATTACGTATAAAACTATTTAATGTCCATTTCTCAACATTCAAGAACATTGTTAAAACAAATGTATAATATACACATGGAAAACAAACCTAGTCTAATTATATAGTATTTTAAATATAAATCAAATCAAACTGAAATGCTACCCTGTAAAAGTATAGGGGGAGGTTTACCTGCTATTTTCCTAATCTATTTTGGATTTCAGAATACTAACTAGCTTTTTTCTAATGCCAGCTAATGGTTACATTCTCTTATTTACCCTGACATATTATATGACCAGAAAAACATTAGACTAATGGTCCTTATAGTCATGTATCCTGTCTCTGATCTTGGCAAGTATGAATTACTTCATAAAATGTACTAAAACCCCATACTGGAAAGCTATTCAATAATATTGACTAACATTTCTTTCTAACCCAAGGGAGGTATTGGTTGGCTTATACTAGGCTCAGGCCTAGCTAGTGTAACTGTGGCTGATATTGTAATTATTCTTAGAAATGTCTAAATCAGGGGTCGGCAACGTTCGGCACGCGGCTCGCCAGGGTAAGCACCCTAGCGGGCCGGGCCAGTTTATTTACCTGCTGACGCAGCAGGTTCGGCCAATCGCGGCCCCCACTCACCGCGGTTCGCCGTCCCGGGCCAATGGGGGTGGCGGGAAGCCGCGGCCAGCACATCCCTCGGCCCGCGCTGCTTCCCGCCGCCCCCATTGGCCCGGGACGGCGAACTGCGGCCAGTGGGGGCCGCGATCGGCCGAACCTGCCGCATCAGCAGGTAAATAAACTGGCCTGGCCCACTAGGGTGCTTACCCTGG